ACGCTTTAGTAGCGGACAGTTTGAATTATATGAACGACGAAGATGAAACGACGATCAACGAACCTTCGATAGCTCAGTTGGTAGAGCGGTGGACTGTAGCGGTTCTGATTATTTCGTGGAGATAGAGAGATATCCATAGGTCGCTGGTTCAAATCCGGCTCGAAGGAATACTTTTTGTGAAAAGAAATCTCTTTATTTAAATTTGCTGACGATTGAAATGTTATTCCACTTGAAATGAGTTTCGTATATACCTTCGATAGCTCAGTTGGTAGAGCGGTGGACTGTAGAGGTCTGAAACATCCAGGAGATATCCATAGGTCGCTGGTTCAAATCCGGCTCGAAGGAATACTTTTTGTGATAAGAAATCTCTTTAGATCAATTTGCCGACGATTCAAATGATATTTCACTTGAAATAAGAGCCATACATACCTTCGATAGCTCAGTTGGTGGAGCAGTGGACTGTAGTACATTTGATTAATTTAAACAAATAGGTATCCATAGGTCGATGGTTCAAATCCGTCTCGAAGGAACATTATTTATTCCCAATATGTTGGTTTATTTTTTTTTTAATCTAATATTTTTCGTGTTATCAGTACATATAAGTAATTATATATCTATTACTTTCGGTGTTCAATTAGCAATATTATATTTTACTAGTCGAATTCAATAAGTATCACGAATTACAAAATACGTATAATGTTACTCATATTTAAGCAACTTCTTCCACGAACCTTCGATAGCTCAGTTGGTAGAGCGGTGGACTGTAGAGGTTATAATCACGGTAGAAATCCATAGGTCGCTGGTTCGAATCCGGCTCGAAGGAATCTTTTTTTTATTTCTCAGAATAATTATCTTTCTCATCCGTTCAACGTTATTCCCTTGCTTATAATTGTTAAACGCGAAAATTTATTGATTCGAGTAGCTGAATAACTGACACGTCTGATACCAATACACTCGAGTATTATCTATTATGTTCTGTTATTTTATCGATAATTACGTATTTCTTTTAACATAATCATAACTCTCTATATGCTCTTGTAAATGCTTTTGTAAATTTTTTCTTTCCTTTTGTTGTTGTTCATTTTTGTAATTCTTCATATTATCTATTATATTAATAATAATGGTGAGCTAAGATGTTCCATTCATCCACAAGGCGGTAAATAATATTTCATTCACCTAGTTGTTGCGAATAATTGCTAGAGCAACTGGCAGCAATTAACGCCCCAGGTGAAATTACCTGCCACCGTGGAAATTCGATCGTCTTCGATCGCCGCCTCCATCCACTCCGTCCCCGGACGATTTCAATTAACACCGTGGAGATTAGTTACGCGACTGGGAAAGGAGCAGCGAACAGAGATACGAATAATCCAACGGTACATTCGACTTCCATCGTTACGCCGTGACCTAATAGGAGTCAATTTCACCGGTGTTCCGTTTCGTCGACGACCGTCGAAAAGTCAGCGATTGGAAATTCTGTTGAATGTGTCGATGGTTACCTTGTTGACTTTCAAACGTTACGACGATTCACGAAGATTCTGACGATCGGAACGATTATCACAGAGATCGGCCGATAAAAGGTGCCGATGCTTGTCGGCGAAGCCGAGATTAATAACGTGAAACGCTGCCACTGTCATTGTATCTACCAACACGATCAGATACACCGTGTCTCCGAGGGAATCGACGGTGAAATCGGGTGTACAAAAGCATGTTCGATGATGACGTGGGGACATTTTTCGGTACTTGTACTCTTTCTAATAAACAGTTATTTATTTATTATTCCGTAGGAGTAATTAATCGTAAATACTTTAAATGAAAATAAAAAAAACAATGGACAGTTTACGCCATCATGGTTAAGTCCATTATTTGGAATCGACTGTTCCAATTTTTATTTCCGTTGGACAGTTCACAGAGATACTCGAACTTTCTGTGCGTTCTCATGAATTCGTTCCTGGACCAGAACTGGAGAACAGCAGTTTACTTGTTTGCTCGTCTACGAATTCAAAAATTTTCAGAGTTTATAGTTCACGCGTTTCATCTGTATTCCACGCAAGGTTCTCACCGCGGAATCTCTTCCGCGACGTTATCTTATCTTCCACACTCTCTTCCGTATGTCGAACATTCGAATTTTTCCGAAACCACTTTAGTGCCCCGACGTATCGAGCAACCGACTGTCGCCTCTTAAAACCTGTTTCGCGATATTTCCGGTGATCATATTTCCCATTTCCTACGACTACCCGTTACATGGCCCGTACACTCGCTCTCCTGTAGGTGTCGAGACACCTGCTGTATATATACAGACAACATGATTCACATTATATATATATATAGAGTGATTAAAAAATGGTCCACGACTTTAGAGGCTTACGGCAGAGTTGGCCATAATTTTAGTCGAATAATATAGTGCAAATAATAATAATAATATACTTATATATTTTATAATTTGAAACACGATCAATAGCCTCTATTAAAAAACGCATACAGTTTCAACGATTTATGGCTTTAAAATGAAAATAAAGTGTGTCTGGCTACGTACAGCCTTTTCCACTGTGGCAGTCGATATGTTAAATATATTTCCCTCCCGCCCAAGGTTTTAAATCCTCTGCTTGTCACCCTGATTCCACTACGGCAATGATTTAAATAATTGAAATAGTGTCCGAGTCTTCACTATCGAGATAGTATCATTTCTGAGGTTGAATGTCAAAGTGTGTCTTCCGAGATCGACGATCGCCTCGTTGGCGAAGCCTCGCTGTTTTCTTCGAAACGATTTGTCTCCTTAACGAGCACGGATTCGTCTGAAACTCGAGCAACCCGGGTGGGGAACCGTTAACAAGATTCCTGCCGTGATCCGCCACGGCATCCTGTCGAAGGAGCCTTATAGCCAGGGACGGCCTTGCCCCGACGACGGCGGCGCCGAGATACGAGGCAGCAGCTTTCTCTACTTTCGCTTACGGCGGAGATTGTCAGGCCTCGTTTATACACATAGTGGCCGATCTTAACCACGCGGGGTATCGTCGGTATTTTCGTTCGTATCGGTCTCGAATGACTTTTCCCATGGTCGATTGAACGTACAACTGGGTGGAATATCGTTACGCACCGAGGGATGCGTGCAGAACAACGATGGAACCGGTGGTTTACGATGGAAAGTGCGAGTGCAATACCGACTGCAAGATCAGAGAAATGAAAAATGTTCCACGTTAGAAACGTCGATAAAGAATATGTATACGTATATTAAATTATAAAGAATACGTATATCTTGAATTGGGAGTGCAGAGAAATCGTTGTAAAGAAATCGGTCCAGCTGGCGAAAATGCATGGAAAGGAGAATAGTAACTAGATTGTGGTTTACAGGCATCTACACAGTGGACCACGATACGTGATCAGCTTAGATCATTCTACTGCTAGCTGTTCGATCGAACAGTTTTGTGACTAGTGTATTCTAGGAGAGCTTTAAGATGAGTGCACCAAATGTTTTAGTCGATCCCTTTTTCCCCCAGAGTTTTCAAGGTCAGCTTCAGGTTTTTTACAGATGAACCTGTACTTTTGTTTACGCCCATCTTTCAGCGTTACTTTATATTTCAAATAATTGTTTTTCTTCAAAAAGTTTCTTTCCATAAATATCATATTAGGTTGGGAATAAACTAGAAAACCGATTGGATCTGACGAGAGTTTTCTTCTTTACTGTATTTTACGGACTATGGCTATAAATGCATAAAATTCGCAGTCTATGTATAATTGTATTATGATTTATAAAGGCTTAATTAAGAGGTACAATTATCACATTATTTGCATTTTTCCTTAGCTTCCTATCATGTCCCTCCCCCTTTCCCTTGGAACAGCTCACTTTCGCGTTCGTTGTATCGCCGAAGAAGGGATTCCAGGCGTGCGTCGCCAGCCGGTCGGGCTTAGGATCGTCGCGGAATGGAAACGATGCATAAACGGCGACGAAAAGAAAGGTTGCATCGGAATGCAATCGTCGCGGCAGCGGCCTGGCTGGTATTTCACGAGGTTATAACCGTGGTTTTTTTCCCGTCCTTTCTTTCTCTGCCCGGCGGCCACGCGAGAAATAATGGCATCGGGTATTTAATATCTCTCTCTGTTCGACTCGCCGCAAACAAATTGTTCCCCCGTTTTGTCCGCGGCGATTGATCACGATCGACGAATTAATCGGTTACCAATTCCGATTATTATCGTTCCCGAGCCTACCTGTTTCGCTACCGTGTGCCATTCAGCGCCGTTTTACTTGGATGGAGATCACGATGGGGGCTTTTGTGTCGTTGATCGTTCTTCGACTCGAATAATTCCCTTTTCTTTACGGTAGGCCCGTGCAGGGACATCGATGTTCATTCTTATGACGCCCAATGACGCTTTGAAGACGCCTTAGACCTAAAATAGGCGTAAAATGGACGTCATGTGCTATCTAGGTTTAGGTGTGTTTATTGCAAGACGGAAAATCTATTGGTACAGCTGGTTGCAAAGGGTTTATGTTTCTCATGAAAACTCTTTTTGTAAATCACGAACAAACGAAAAGTTTAGGCATCGAAGAATTAATTTCTCCCTGTCAACTAGAGTTCCAGAAGGCTCGCGTGAGAAAAGAAAATTCTTTTAACGTTTTCTTTTTCAATAATTTCATCGTTGACCGTGCGATTTTTCGGTAGCAAAAGTTGACGATTTTAAGAATGTTCTGTGAAATTTTCAACTTAATTTATAATTATAGAAAAAATTTACTGAAGCTACCTTAAAGGTCAGTCCAAGTCACTAAATTGTGCGCAACTCTGCTTTCTTCCACGGAACGCAAATGTCCTTCAACCAGTAGCGCAGGGAGGGGATTATTCTTAGCTCGGGTGGGGAAGGAAACGAGTCGGTGTGTGCGTTGTTCTCGCAAGTTTCTCTTTTATTAAAGGTTCCGTTCGGTAAATTGATAAGTATCACTTAGCTTTAAAGAAAAGAATGTACATATAATAATATTTAATCATTTTTTTATATACGGTCCCTGAGGATTATGGATCATCGATCTTTTCCGTGTCGGGGTGGACACCAGCCCAGCTGATTCGTTCGTGTCCCCCTTCGTGGAGCAGGAATTCCTCAGGTTAACGGGTAGGGGGTGGGGGATGAGAGGGACACGCGTTCGTATTATACAAAATCGAGCGGGACTCGCTCCGTTTCGAGTTTCGTTGAAAAGGAGGGGGGGGGGAAGAAACTGTTTGACCATGATATCGAATGAATGATTCGTTGTCTCGTCGACGTGCTCGGTCCTGGTCGTTGAATCTCGAGGCGTTCGGAACTTATCACAGATCGTCGGTTGAACGAAATAGACGATTTTCGGTCGGGGATCGATCCAAGTCGACATCCTCGTCGACCACTCGCTCCGTAATCTCTCAAACTAACGAAACTTCTGGCGGCTCTTTTTATGCGAATTACCCTGACATTCATAAAGAACCATTTTGGCCTGACCTTGTTCCCCGATCGAAAACGACGTGTCGATAACGTCCGCCGTGAAACTCGTGAAGAGTGGATCATCGACCAATAGTATAAAAGGGATGGGAAATAATTCAAGAATATAGATCTAAGGTGTGAACGCCCGAACGACAGGCAAGAGGATCCAGATTGGAGTTTTTTCGGACACGTTTTTTTAACGAGACACGAGGCAGGCCTTAGTAGAAACCGTCGCCCGTTGGATCGTTCACCCATGGGTAGTTGTTCGGGCAACGTACGCAGGTCTGCAGATTGATCGTCTCCCCGGGTACCTCCTTCGAGGTCAGTTTACAGGTGTGCGGCACCCAACAGGCCTGATAACCGTCGACCACGCACTTCTCCCGCCACGGCTCGAAGTTCTTCGACTCGGTCACCGTGCGTGGATTCTGGATCCATTGGATCACCTGCGTCATGGTCACGAAATAGACGTCGTTGTGGTCGGCGAGGATCTCGTCGATCCAGAAGAGAAACGCGTCGAGGAACTCCGGATTGTTCTTCAGCCAGGCGGCGTGGAAGTAGAGACCCAACGGGGCCCGATTTTGCTCGTAGTGGCGATCGAAGTTGTGTCGTAGGAAATTGTAGAATTGATCGCCGGTCAATATGTTGCTGCACGAGTCGACCATCGCGCAACCGGGCAGGTACTCGTCGTTCTGGGGATCCTCCCGACGGTCCAGCTCGTTCATCACCATCTCCCAGACTGCGTGCGATCTGAGTAGAAGAGAAACAGAGGCGATCGCGCGTGAAGGATCAAGCTGTTGGCCATATTATCTGGCGATATCCTCTATTGGACACTCAAGGAACACAACTAATCGAACAATTGGAAAAATCGAGCTACAGCTGACTCCTGAATATGGCCTTAATACTCAAAGAATGTTATAAGTAGACTGCGGATTTTTATGCAAACTGATATTTTCTAAAGTAATTTACAAAGGCTAGAGTAAATCTAGGAAGGTCCTTTTTCTCTTAAGTATCGTATTAGGTACAGAATAAAATAGAGATTTCGTTGTATGTGAAGAATATTTTGCCGTTTATTGTATTTCACAGAGCCCTATTGGCGATAAATGCATAAAATCCACAGTCTAGTTATAAGAAAGTTAATAAAGAGAAGAATGAAGTTTTATAAAGAGTGTCGAATAACTAATAAAAGATACAAAAAACTGACTCGCCAATCTCGATTAATGATATCTGTTTCAGCTGTATATTTCCATTAGTTTATGAAATATTTAATGTTCAGTACTAATTCTCATTTCAGTACCAATTCGGGGGGTTCCCATCAACGAGAACAGCAGCAAGAATTGTTGCTGGGAGAAAACACACGGTGCACGTGATTTCACTTTTGTTTCGATTACGGCTCGATATACAGAGTGTCCCAAAAATACAAGTATGTACCCTAGATTAACTCTGCAGAATAAAGCAAAAAGTGTTTGACACAAACGTTTTAGGGTGTCAAAAGAGGCTTCTGACGGTGACCTTGATCATGACATAGGGGTCAAATTTAGAGGTCATTTTGAGGTCATTGTGTAGCAGTCGAATGTCTGCAACACGCTCGATCACACGAAGGCTTTAGGGTTTACCTTGTGGGACAGTGTTGAAGGTTTCCGTGGCATCGATGCGGCATCCTGAAGTACATCGTGTAAGGCCATAGTGGTGGGTTGTTCAGGGCCGCTGTGATGGTGGAATCGTAGAGGAACGCCTGTTCCTCCATCATCGTGAACTGATTGTTACCGCCGACCCTGAGGTACGGGGCCCTGACCCCGACCACGCTGTTGTCGGTCAAATTCGCGAACTTCTCCGCGATGATCCTCATGCCGGCCATCTCTTTCGCCCAGTCGTCGACGGTTGCGTCCGACCAGAACCGTTCGTCGTCGTTGTGGCTTAAGGAAAGTAATAATCGGTTCGTTGTCGTATGTCTGTTAACAACCTGGGAAACTCGAGGAATCGGGGAAGCTAACGATCACGATTGTTAATTTTCAATATTCTTACATATGCGGACAGCTTGGTATCGAGGTGATCTTCGAAGCAATTTGTTTTCTCGTTTTCTTTTTTCGAAAACGATAGCTACCCAGAGATACTACGGTGAAATGAATAATTCGCGATCACGATAGGAGGACAAACAATCTACCCGCAAGTTAAACACCTGGAAGGACGATTTTCGATTGGAAGGAGACACGGTGCCCTCGACTCAAACACCAGGGAGACGTTTTTTCTTTTTTCTTTTGTTACGTTTCTTACGAGATAGAGTGAACGGCGATCTCATGGCCTTTCCTGTGCATTTCCTGGACGGCCGAGTAGTTGGTGTACTTGTGGGAGACGAAGAACGTGGCCTTTATGTCGCAACTGTTCGGATTCTTTCGTCGGCCGTTGAAGATCTCCTTGTAGAGGCCGATGTTGTTGTTGTTGATCGCGTCGTCGAAGGTGATCGTGATCATCTGAGGCACGTCCTTGGACGGTAGATCGCCGGGGATCATTGTGCCGTCCTCGGAACAGAAGCAATCCGGCAGAACGCAGACGGTCGGATCGCAGGGCGGCGCTCGGTTCGGATCGTTGTCCATGTCTGGAATTTATACGGAGGCCCCGATTGTTCCTTTCACGATCCTCGGACCGTAGGGCGCGCTTCACGAGCAAACCGATCGAGTTCTCGGTGAAAGTCGAGAGGATCGAAAAATCGCCGTCGATTTTAACGTTTTTAACAAGAAATTCGTTTTCTCGTCGGAATCATAGCGTTCCAGCGTAACGGTTCGCGAAAGGTTAACACGTTCTCTACCAGTAGATTATTTCGAGAATGTTCGTCACAGACTGCGCTGGTTTTTCAGCATTCTATTCAATGGAATATCCATATCTCTTTGATCGGAAATTAAAAATAAACAATACAGAGATAACGACTGACACAAAATATAGGTGAATATTGCAAAGCCCATTCCACTCTTATCTAAGAAATTATGCTAAAATGGAAATCAGGGTGTTACACGTGTGTGGTAGCGAAAGTGTTACCACACGTTGGTCGCCACGGTTTTTACACTCGGGATAATATATCATGACAAGGTACATTTGTCTTAATAATAACAATATAAGCATTTGACTCGAACGCTCGTCTCGAGTCAGCGTTCCGGTGTTCCCTTGTACGTTAGGATCGTCCACGGTGAGACATGTTGAAAATGTCGCGAAAGTAAAATTATTTGATGTTTTTTTTTCTATAAAAAACTCACCGCAAATGTTCTCGTCGGAGCCGTCGCTGCAGTCTTTCTCCCCGTTACAGAAGAGACCCCTCTCGACACAGGATCCGTCTCCGCAAGCGAGAAAACCATCCTGGCAGAGCGGATCCTCGGTGTACAAC